GCAAATTTCAGCGATGGTTTTTTGAAACACGTGCAGAACTTGAGCGAAACCAAGAAATTGCTGCAATGCTGGAAACTCAACTGGAACAAGAAAGACAAGCAAGAGCCGATCAGACCCAAAATTTTGCCAAACTTGAAGCCGAGAATGCTAAGAACCAAAAGCTCATTTCTGAAATGCGCCGTGAATTGCTCATCTCCAAGGAAGAAGCTCGGCGGGCTTGGGAGGAACTGGGTCGTCGGGAGCAAGAGGAGCGGGATCGTACTGTTTCTCTTCAGCAGGGCTTACCAACCATCGTTGGGGGTGTTCAAGTCGTACCGATGACCCAAGGGCCTCCAAGTCGAGAACCAAGTCGCCGTGAGCGGTCGCATGCCCAGGGTACTGATACCTCAAATTATGTCGCTGCGCAACCAGGTCAATATCCCGGATATGGCCAACCGTCCTCGCAATCTAATAGTGGAAGGGAACCCCAATTTGCGCCCGAATCGGACTTGACCGGATATAGTGAAGAAGGTATGTCCATAACAAGGGCGGGGTGATGGAAAGTCAACTGCAGAACTCTAATCCTGTCGTTCCAGACAATCTAAGTTATATTGACCAACCATCAACGGCCCAACCCGGAACAAACTACCCACCATCCAGTTCCCAGTGGTCCCAAACCTACCAAGGCAACCCCGAGTACTCGGGCCAAGGTTATACGGCGCCTGGTTGGGAAAGTATGGCGAGACATCAGCACCCAACGCGACTTAGTGATGTCCTTGAGGAAGATGAACGCAGCCGGACGTCAGCAAGCCAACTCAGCCGGCCATAATTTCAGTCCAAGTAATTTTCAACTGTAATCAACCATATACGAAAAAAATGTCTTGTTTACTTGACAAGATTACCTAATGTCAACCTTACATGACGAAATCACGGATTACGATACATGCCTTTCTCGACTGATCTGCGGAATGGTTTTGGTATGACGAACATTTCGGTATACGACCTCGGTATCTGCATTAGCGACTGTCTAAATATTTGTTTCTTTCTTTTATTTTCCTCATTGTTTTCGGCTGCGGCATCGCAAATCGGGAAAATGAATACCTATCTCTTTTTTTTTATATTGGAAGAAGCAAACAGCATTGCGTTAATACACCACGTTGATACAACTTGTATTCATTTGAGCTCGAGAGAAAACAGAAGCGGGATTGTGCTTGGTCTTTTTTGTTTTCTACCTCGAGCGGCGATATTTCGGTTCATTGGACGGCAAGACTTGTTCATAGCGCGATTAGGGGAGCTATAGAAGAGGATTTTTTTTCTTTGTATGTAATGGCACATGTTTGTGTATGGACATGTACACATATACATGCAAACATGTAAAGATCGGAGTATTGTAAGAATTTAGCGGGACGGAGGAGGAGAATGAAATGGATTTTGTGGGAGTTTCATGTACTGCGTTGGTTGGCTTGTCTGGTTTTGTTTGGTGTGATGGTGGTAGACCGGACCCCCCCATTATCATTCGTCGAGAATAGGAGACTGGGTAATGGTGGTGATATGGCATGGTGGCGTGGGTGGTTGTCAGTGTCAGTCTTGTTAGCTTTAACGTGTACCAAGTTTTGAGTTTGTGGATGGTTGACTAAGTTAGTGTAATAAAATCGGCAATTTAGGCCGAATCCGAATGTATTTGTAACTGAGGTTTGGTCTAAAGCTGGATTAGCATTGTTGCTTGTTTGACGTTTTTGTCTTGTCTGGAGAGAATCCCTTTCAAAGGTGACATAAAGAGGTTTGACGGGTGGTTCATTCGCTCTTCTAATGGTAACACACGATGTTCGGAAACACTCCCGAGCTAGGTGATCAATGGTTATAAGCATGGTGGTATGACCATGTCAGGCCACTGGTCTTGTACGTTGACAAGATTATGGGCAAGAGCAGAGACGAGCTGAAGGGTGAGCGCAGATTTACTGATAAGTATTGAGGACAGGATATAGGTAGCTGTTCAGTCGAGTATCACAAATAGACTGATGACTCCTGTGGGGGTTCTGGCAATATCTTTTAAGGGCTTACACCTTGCTTGAAGTCCCTCCACTGCTCTGTTTCCTCTTTCGATCGTCTATCAAGTTCTCACGTACGGTTTGTTACCAACATTGATTACAGTTAAGATGCAACCTCTACGAGACCTGGTTCTTTCCTTTCTCGCTACAACTACCTCCCTTATCACGGTAGTTTCGTCAACCACCAGAAGCAAACGGCAGCTCAATCCTCTGAGTGCACTCCCAAGCCTCGTGATAGATCTTGTCCCGCAGATAATTGATATCACCGACCAGGGAACAGCAGAATGCCAATTTACAGAAAAGACTCGGGAGCTAATTACTCTCCAGTTTCTCGACAAGAACGTCCTCATCTACAGTGCGGTTGATGCCAAGGTCGACGGACTCGAGAATGCCTACTGCTTTCCCGTCTCGTTGAACATTGCGTTGGGGATAAAGAAGACTTATAACGTATGTGCATTTGACCAAGGCCGCTTTGTAAGTAGCGGCGACGGCGGGTATCAAAACTGGGGTTATGCTGGGTGCATTACGACGACAGGAAAATATAGTTGAGTTTTGTCAGAGGGAAGTTCTTACTAGGTCCAGCGGCATAAGGGCGATTGGTCTGAGGGCAATGTCCTTGGTTTACATTGTTGGTATTGCTGCTGTTGCAGCATTTTTGATAGAATACCATTGACGATGTTGAGCAGAGGTTGAAGAAACCAGGGTTAGAAATGTTAAAACAATATTCTTTGACTGATACAACCCTGAAAACCAACCCCACTGTAGTGACTCGACCGGCTCGGGCTCACTGACAGTAAATTACAGTAATTAATGACGCCACATCCTTAGCAAGGCGCCAAAGTCAATACACCATTACGGATCCATACCATCCAGAAACATCGCCGCCGCTGGCATCAGCATCTGGGCATCAACCAATAAATACGAATAAACATACCTAGCAACTCTTTTAAACACACATCAACCGCCGCCGCCGCGCTTATAAGCATCACGAGAAGTAAAGAAAACAAAAAGTCAAAAAAGTAGAGAAAAGCAACCAAAACAGATGGAGGGTCTTTTTGTCAAACTCACCAGGCCCAGAGCTTCGTTTCTTCGGTAATTTATTCATTCCTGGTGCCCATTGTCAAACAAGAGTGAAGTCTAATAAGCTATTGCTTGCTCTATCATGCAGCTGCTTCTCCAGCTCAACGCTGCGGGGTGTGAGCGCCGCCTCCATCTCAAGACCCATCATCACTCATGGACCTACCAAATCCACAACAACGAGAGGTTTCAAAACTGGCCTTGCTGAAAATTTGCCGCAAGAGTCAATTGATTCTCCCGCATTTGGCTTTGCTTTTGAGTAAGCGTGTTTTTCTCTTTGGCCTCTCCAAGGTTGGACTTGAGGACTGACGCCAGAGAAGTATTGATGGAGTCCTGCTTCATGAAAAGAACCCAATCCCGGGAGCAACTGAAGCTCTTCGTCTTCTAGATAGGTACAGAATCCCATATATCATGCTCACCAACGGTGGAGGCAAGCGGGAATCGGAACGCGTGGCCGACCTGAACGAGAAACTGCGTATCAAAATCACCACAGAGAGCTTCGTTCAGTCACACACTCCGTTTCAGGAGCTACTCGAAGGACCCAATAGTCTCAGAGACAAGACAATCCTCGTCACTGGATCAGACTACGAAAAGTGCCGCGACATTATACTCCAGTGCGTGTTTTCTCCCTCTACCCTGGCGTGTTTCTTGACTTCTTTGATACTGACCTTTCTCTCATACTTTAAGCTACGGTTTCCGCAACGTTCTAACACCAGCCGACATCTTTGCTGCCCAACCATCAGTCTTCCCCTTCCAAGCAGTCAACAAAGCCGAAGAAAAAGGTCTCGTCTCGCTACCCAAGCCTATCTTCGTCAAGACCCCCACAGAACCCAACTCTACAGAACTAGCCAAGCACCTCAAAATTGACGCCATGTTCGTACTGAACGATCCTCGTGACTGGGCATTAGATATCCAAATCTTTGCAGACCTTCTACTCTCTCACCAAGGCTACATGGGCACTTACTCGCCCCGCAATGGAAACCGTTCCGTAGCAAACTGCGGATGGCAACAAGACGGCCAGCCAAAGCTCTACTTTAGCAACTCGGACTTGCTCTGGTCAGCATCGTACCATCTGCCTCGTTTCGGCCAAGGAGCATTCCAATACGCGCTGGCCGGGATTTGGAATCGTATCACGGACGGCCATGAGTTGCAGAGAAGCTGTATTGGCAAACCATTTGCCGAGACGTACAGGTTTGCCGAAAGAAAGTTGAATGCCCACTGGAAAAAGAACCGCAGAATTACAAAAAATAATGCTGCCACGGAGCTAAAGAGCGTCTACATGATTGGTGATAACCCAGAGAGCGATATTGCTGGGGCGAACGGGTACCAGAGCGAGAATGGGACTGAGTGGGTGGGTGTTTTGGTTGAGACGGGAGTTTGGAATAAGGACATGAGCGTGGCTTTTACGAAAGAGACTGAGCCGAAGCGGATTGAAAAGGATGTCAAGAGCGCTATTTTGTGGGCTTTGAGACGAGAGGGAATCAGTGTTAGGGGGTAAGAAGTTGGAATTAATGACTGAAGATTGTAGAAGAAACATCAATATAGAAATTAATGGTTCAAACCTCTTCTTTTCAAAACAAGTACACACAGGATGGGATGTCGCGGTCTGAGTGTCTGTATAGCCAGCCATTTGTAGAGGGAGAGGAGGGAAGAAGCAAATGAGTTGCTGAACAAGGCGACAACCAACAGCAAAAATTAGTCTAAGATATTTTGAAGATACGTGCTGCGTCACGTGTTCTTCACTCTGTGGGAAGCTTTGTCTTCCTTCTTCCTCTCTCCTGCAAGGTTTACGTTTCTTTGTCTCTGTCTCCGTCCCCGTATCCATAGATATTAGTACGGAGTATTATTATTGTATTTGTGAAAGATCAGACATAACTTCTTCGTCTTGACATGTGCGGGCCCGTGGTCTAGTGGTATGATTCACGCTTAGGGTTCACTATGAACACATGTGTGAGGCCCCGGGTTCGACTCCCGGCGGGCCCCAACTCGCACCCTATTTTTTTCTTGCCCATTGCCCTTGTCTCAAAGGGGTGTCGGTATTCTTCAGCCCTCCTTCCATGGGCATGCATGGTTGGAATTTTGTGTCACTCAGCTATCTTTAGAAGCCGTGTTGATGTTTCGTCCTACAAGGGATGCGAATTGAAGAATGGCCAAGGAATAGAAAAGGTCACGATGTTCTTCAGTCAGACAGGCTCTTCTGTGGCGTTGTGCAAGCGTGACTAGATGTTGGGCCATAATCCATATATTGCCATCCATACTCTTTCCGGTGGCACTTCCGTAAAGAGATGCTGCCAGACAGGGCTTGGGTTCCGTGAGGCTGGCTATATGCCTCTTTTCTGTTTCACGGCCGTCACACCCTTCGACTTTTTCGCATATGGTATTTTGTTAAACAAACGGGAACCTGCTTGGTGTCTCGTGGATTCCTTCTTTTCTCTTGTACAAAGAAAAAGACAATGCAGTGTGCAGTGCCACATGAAAAAAAGAGTACCAGTACCTCCGGATGGTCGACACACACACGTTCGCTTTGGTGGTGCCGGGTTAATATATCGTAAATAGCCGGGACCAATCTACATGGTACTATTTTGGTTCCCTTGGTCCCAAGAGGGTTCCGAGACAACAAGACGGAATGCTGAACTGGAACGGAGGAAGTTTTTCTTTTTTTTTTTTTTGCTCGGTTACACATTTGATGCAGCACGGTGCCTGCAGCTGAGGTCGGTCGTAAAACATCAACGAGGAGGGGGGAATAGGTACAGAGTCAAGAGCCTTGTGAGAGGTTGCCAAGTACCGAGCAGCCCTGCGTATATATACATGATGATTTGGTTGCTCTTTTAGGAATTTTGGGACGACGCCTTCTGATAAATGTTTGTCGCCTTTGGATTTTCGGGTGATTGATTTCTCTTGACAGCGGTAACGAGTCCAAATGCGACACCGACACTTCTCCAATTCACACCCCAACCCCCCCTGCCTTGATGCATGGCACGGCAAGAACCTCGACACCCAATTCGTCGAATCGATTAATCTGCGTCGTATGCTCTAGCATCTAGCTGCAGTACCCCGATCTTGGGTCTCGTCAAAGGATTCAAGGTGGTGCGCGGTGCTCAGTGAAAAAGTGTAACCATGGGACCCGACTTTTTAGAAATTTGTTGATAACGCCTGTTCTTTTCTTTTACACAAAGCCATCGCCAAGTCAAATGTCAAGTCCGTCATGCAACGGTGCAGGCTAGGAGGGAAAAGGTAAAACGCCCGGGAAGCGGTGTTGCTTGGTTTGCCCCACATTCTTTTTTATTTTACTTCCGGTTTGCTTGTGAATGCCGAGTTTTGGGGGTATCTGGGGTTTCCGGCAACGGGGGTTTTTCTTCATCATCATCATCAATCCATGTGTAATTTCTTATCAGATTTTACAATTCGGTCTATCGATCTCGTGCATCCAGAGATCAATGCGAAACATTGGCACAAAAGGGGGCGCCGAGGTCTCGAACACTTTTAGGTTGTGAGTGGGAGAGATAAGAACCTGGAAGGCTCTTTTTTTCCATGGGTCGCCGATATTAACAGGAAACACGCCGGCCGTTCCCCGCCATTGGCTGGAAATGTCTCTGTGTATGTGAAGAATTAAAGTGCGACATCGCTTGCCTTTTGGTGCTGGATGGTGGATCGGCCTTCCGAAGTCTCTCCCCAATGCAGCGATTGTGATGATCCCGTCGTTGTCGTCGTCGGCATCGTCGCATCACACAAGTTTGACAGCCTCCTTCTTTTCTTCTTGGTCGCTTCTAGACAGGAACAACAAGAGCTTCCATGCATCAAATCACGCATTAGTGTTATCGCATCGCGACACGGGGGGTGGACGGACCTGACGGGAATTCAAGGAACAAGCAGCCGTTTGGCCATTGCCCCAAACATGGGTCATGATCGCAGTCCCATCGCAGGCCTTTCTGGGCGGACCGACCCCCGCTGCAATCCCTGCCATCTCGACCCATCAGCCAGCCATCAGACCAATTTAGGCAGGTCAGCAATAGACTGGGGGGCCTTGTAGCTTGAATTCTTCAAGCCATTCTGCACGTTGCGTGGGTGGTGGTGGTGGCTAGTTAGTGGTGCCCTTCCAGAAGCACAGGACAGACTGACAGAGAGAGACAACTTCAAAGGACGAGAGGGATGTTTGTTCCGTTCATCAGCGCCCAGAAAGCGCCCCCCGCTTGCCTAGTAGTCCATTCCACACACTCACACACACCCCTTCTTCCCTTCTGATACCGCCCATTCCTCGAGGGGTCCCGTCCCCGCTCACTGGAGTGATCTGCGCATGAAAGCACACGAGGTAGCCATGTCCAGGCTCAATAATACTCTACTTTAATTCAGACACTCCCCCCTGTCTTTTGCCTCGCTTGCGCCATCGGTGGTTGTCTTCTTCTTTATTTTTTCCTCCCCTGCCGTTGCCTTTTGTGTTTTTTGAAAGTCGCAAATTCTCAACAGAGTCAAGGGTGACGCCGACGACGGCGCCGACAACGACTGCGTGTCTTGACAGAACCCTCTTGCTTGACCGGCCTCGTTGAGCCGAGAGCACGGAGTGGGTCGAGACGACCTCAAGCACACACCCACCACAGCTCAGGGGGAACGACAAAAAGGAATAATGGCACCGAAAGTCTTTGGGTTGTTTCGCTGCCGGCGCGACGAGGAGAGTGATGGCCGCGATGTGGACGGTTCTTTTGAAGCCGAATCGAGTGGATTGGAGTCATTGAAGCACTTTGAGAAGATGCACCGGTTAGACCCAAATTTGCCACTGGACGAGCTGGAGGAGGTCGATATCGCCTTGAACACCCATAATGCCGAAAAGGGCGCCGAGATTGAACAGATTCTGGCCGAGGACAACTCGCCATATCCAGAAGTGTGTTTTGCTCTGAAGTGTGTGTTGTGTTGTTCTAAAGTGTGGTTCTAACGTGATGTCGTCTCATTCAAGGTGCGAGCATCGGTACGAAACTTCGATGTCGATATGCCAGCAAATACGATACGGGCCTGGGTCATCGGAATGCTGCTGTGCACTATCGGATCTGGCGTCAACATGCTGCTCTCCCTCCGAAACCCGAGCATCATGCTCACTACTTTCGTTGTTCAACTCATCGCCTACCCCCTTGGGTTGATCTGGGATCTAATATTCCCAGATCGTGTGTGGAATCTGTTCGGGCTCAAGTTTAACTTACGACCAGGCCCCTTCAACTACAAGGAACATGTCATTATTGTTGTCATGTCAAACGTACGTTTTTTTCCTCTTTTTTACAAATCGGCCGGATGAAAACTGACATGGTAACTTGATAGGCGGCGTATGGTGGTGGTGCTTTATATGCTACCGATGTCATCATTGCCCAGAGAATCTGGTATGGCCAGAATTTTGGATGGTTGTGGCAGATCATGTTTGGTATCACGACGCTTTGTACCGGCTATGGTCTGGCCGGCCTGGCAAGGAGATTTTTGGTCTGGCCAGCTGCCATGATCTGGCCCACCGATCTTGTGAACTGCACCCTCTTCTATACTCTCCACGACCATTCTCCCTCAGACCCCTCGAGGACGAACGGATGGAGTATCGGCAGATACAAGTGGTTCTTTTTGGTGTTTACCGGCTCGTTCTTGTGGTATTGGCTTCCGGGATATCTCTTCCAGGGCCTGTCATGGTTCTGCTGGATCACCTGGATTTGGCCCAGGAACGTCACCGTCAACCAGTTGTTTGGTGGGTACAGCGGTTACGGACTCTTCCCCTTCACTCTCGATTGGAGTATCATTTCGGGCTATCTCATGTCGCCCCTCATTCCGCCATTCCACGCAATAGCCAATGTTGTTGGCGGTGTCACCGTTTTTGGCGTAATCATCTCAATCGGAATCCACTACTCCGGGATGTGGTACTCGGAGTATTTGCCAGTCCAGGACAACCACGCCTACGACCGCTTCGGTGCCATATACGATGTGTCACGCATTCTCGGCCCCAACAGCTTGTTCGACGAGGAGAAGTACAACGCCTATTCGCCTCTCTACCTCCCCACTCAATTTGCCCTTTCGTACGGCCTGTCCTTCGCCGCGGTTTCTGCCGTCATCACCCATGTCGCCTTTTATCACGGCCGAGAAATTATCAACCAGTGGAAGTTGGCACGATCGCAGGAGGATGATGTGCATATGCGGATGATGAAGAAGTATCGCGATGCCCCGGATTGGTGGTACACGGTTCTCTTCATCGTCATGTTGGGCATGTCTTTTGCTGTGGTATGCGCCTGGCCGACCGATTTCCCCTGGTGGGCGTACATCATTTGCATGCTCATTCCTCTCATCTGGACCATCCCTATTGGTATCGTCCAGGCTATCACTAACATTCAGCTCGGCCTCAACGTTCTTACTGAATTCGTCATTGGTTACATGCTCCCCGGCCGCCCTCTCGCCATGATGATGTTCAAAAACTACGGCTACCTGAGCATGTCGCAAGCGCTGTATTTCGTACAGGATCTCAAGTTGGGACACTACATGAAGGTTCCCCCGCGCGTCATGTTTTGGTCGCAGCTCATCGCCTCGATCTGGTCCGCCGTCGTCCAGATCACCGTTATGAACTGGGCCCTGGACGCCATCCCCGACGTCTGCTCCGAAACTCAGGACCACAAGTGGAATTGCCCCAGCGCGCGCGTCTTCTATACGGCTTCAATCGTCTGGGGCGCCATTGGTCCTGCCCGGATGTTTACCGGTAAGGCTTTGTACAGCGCGCTACAGTGGTTCTGGCTCGTAGGCGCCGCTACGCCCATCATCACCTGGTTCTTTGCACGTCGGTATCCACGCTCGATATGGCGTTATGTCAACATGCCGCTCGTCTTTGGCGGATCCGGCTGGATGCCGCCCGCGACTGTTATGATTTACTACTGCTGGGGCATGGTCGGGACGGCATTCAACTACTTTATCAGGAGGCGCAAGACGGGTTGGTGGCTGCATTACAACTATGTCACGTCGTCTGCTCTCGACTG